TGAAGGGAGGAGAGGTGGTACGCAAACAACTTGGTGAGGTTCTCAATGTTCTGGCTACTGGGAGCGCCATTTAGTTGACATCCCATTCTCATCCATTCACTTACCCCTGTCCCCATCCTGTCTATCCATTCACTCTTCCCCAATTCCATCTTCAGGTAACTCGGTGAGTTATTTTTTCACCAATCTGGACCTTGTGAAGCTATGATCCCACAACCTATTGAAATGGAGCAACCTGCTCTGTCTACCCATCTCCCATGGTATTATTAATCTATCCATTTATTCTAGATCTAATCGCCTCCAGACAGTCTATCAAACACTTGTTCATCTGCTCTCCATCCCTTCCAAATTCGTCTATCCAAGATGTCTATTAATCCGTTCCAAAGTGATTCTCATTGACTACAGACATCCGTCCACGCATGTTTCGTCACGTAATGGGTCCTACGATCACGGAGTTTGCGAGCAAATTACAGCAGGATGTGCAGGAAGGCAAGGTGGGTGAAAACTGCACGATTGGCGTTTCTTCCCCCTGACATATGCTTACCTCCACTGTGGAGGACCGTATTCAATGCGAATTGACTGGCAAGTTTTTTACCTTTTGATCTATTCAACTTTTGCCCCATTTAGGAGAAAACCAGTTCTCTCTCAAACTACCTGCTTGACCATTCGATTCATCCATCCTGGCTCCTTTCACCTACCCGCCCGTCATTCCAATCGTCCATCATCTATTCATCCTTCGACCAACTCATCTTTACCATCAACTGACCCTCCTCCTAACCAGTCATCCATCCATCCCTTTATCACCCGTCTACCATCCTTGCATTCATTTTCCCTTCCTTCCATCCTTTCAACCATTCCATCCAACTGTATGTCTGGTTGTCCTAGCTATTCACCTATCCAATCTGCTTTCCACCCATCAAACTCTCACACCCTCTCTCCCCTTTGATCCGTGTAAATATCCACTGAACCATGCCATTCGTACATCCTTTCAACCATCCATCCTGATTTAACAAACCATTTTCTGTCTTTCATTCGACAGGTTTAATACATAAGGAACGATTGGAGACGATTCTCTTACTGCCGATTCCAGTGGAGGCGGCAGCAAACAAGGACGAGTTTAATGCTTATTAAAATAGGCAGAAGCGAAGTAGAGAAGACAAAGGCGCCTTTTTAGGAGGATGCGGTCTACGTATAAGGCAGGACAATGATTACCGACATATAGAGGAGGAGGAGGACAGTGGCCTCAAGGAATTTAACCGATGCGCAGAGGACGCACCACGTTGCCAAATTGACTACATTGAAGTAGTTAAGCAAGATGACGCACAGGTAGGTGTAGAGAAAACTTAAGTAGACCAATTCGCTCAATGACATCATCATCACGTCCACTGAAATGTCACTTGGTCTTGTCTTCGACTAAATGGAAGGAGGAGAAGGGTGAAATACATAGTTTTGTGGCTTTTTAATCGCACATTATGTTGAATTCACAAATTGGACATTATCTTTTAGTAAATTACGCCAGACAGTAGCAAATCTACACATCAAATCTTATGAGCACG